CCTAGGCTGCCCTGGTACCAAGTGTACCGATGGGCATCCTTATGTTTGAACATGGTGTTTGTTATGGCCAAACTGCGGCTTGCACAGAAGTCCAATAACGAAGCACCACTCGAGTTCAGATCAGGCGGGCCGTTCCTCCCAATCACACCCCTCCAGGTCAAGCTGTCATTGCCCACGTGAGCATTGAAGTCCCCCAGCAGGACAATGGAGTCCCCTGATGGAGTACTGTCTAGCACTCGTCCCAAGGACTCCAAAAAGGGTGAGTAATCTGAACTGATATTTGGCCCGTAAGCACAAACAACAGTCAGAACCCGTTCCCCGACACGAAGGCGCAGGGAAGCTACCCTCTCGTCCCCCGGGGTAAACCCCAACACACAGGCAGAGAGTCTTGGGGCTAATAAAAAGCCAACCCCAGCCCTCCACCTCTCACCCGGAGCAACTCCAGCAAAGGAGAGTGTCCAACCCCTCTCAAGGACTTGGGTTCCAGAGCCAATGCTATGTGTCGAGGTGAGTCCGACTATATCTAGCCGGTACCGCTCAACCTCTGCCACAAGCTCCTGCTCCTTCCCCGCCAGCAAGGTGACGTTCCATGTCCCAAAACCCAGTTTTCTTGTCCAGGGATCGGACCGCCAAGGCTCCCACCTTGGTCTGCCACCTGATCCACATTGCACTGGACCCTTCATGTTCCTCCTGTGGGTGGTGGGTCCACAGTTGGATGAGCCCATGTATCCGGTTCGGGCTGGGCCCGGCCGGGCCCCATGGGCGAAAGCCCGGCCACCAGGCGCTCGCTCACGGGCCCCAACCCCAGGTCTGGCTCCAGGGTGGGACCCCGGTAACCCTCCGGGCCGGGTACTCCGACTCTTTGACTTTATCTCCATGAAAGATCCTTTGAACTCAGCACGATAAGCCAATCTGAAACCCCAGAATCTGATATTTTTCTTCTATAAGCCAACTGTTGTCAAGTAGCAACAAAAAAAATTAAAAAATAAGCATTTCCCATTCTTCTTAGTCTGACCATAACTACGCAATAATTCCTACTAGCAGATATATTTTGTTGCTTAAAAAATGTTTAAAAAAAATACCTGAATAAAACCAATAATAAATAAAAATATTTCAAATGTAATCTGGTAATTACAATTGTTGGAAAAAAGTGAATCAACAAAAATCAGTATCAGCAAGTAAGAGCTGAACAGAAAAAGGATATTAATATCAGCCTTCAACACCAAAATCAGTGCATCTCTCAAGTTATTTTGTCAAATGAATTGATTTCAGAACTGTTTTGGTAACAATCTTTTAAATGACTCGTTTGTTTTTTAACAAAGAAGAAAGCTGCTTTTAACTACCTTAAAGCAGGTTCAAAAGTTGTGTTTTCATTTATAAAGCCTCTTTATGTTATTAGATTATTTAGGGAAATATTTGGACAGGTGAGGCAGTTCTTCAGCAACATGAACCTTAGAGAAACCGATGCAGCTGTTGGAAGTCGATAGTGTTGAAAGGTCAGAAATTCATAACCTTTGAGCTCTCATTGCTTTGCTTTTTTTCATGAAATGCCTAAGTTTAGTCAGAAAACTACAAAAATTTACCATAACATGTTTGACACTAGGGCTGCACGATATTAGGAAAACCTGCGATATTCGATAACAGTGCTTAATATTGAGATATCGATATTACTCACGATAAATGAATAAATACTAAAGTATGCAGTGTTGATGTCGTCTGGCGTGTGACGTCTGCTCTGGGTTCAAAGCAAACTAAAACTAATGCATGAATTCCATTACAACATAACATTTTTATTGAAAAAAATATGCAGCTGCACCTGCTACTGTATTAGCAGCTGCACCTGCTACTGTATTAGCAGCTGCACCTGCTACTGTATTAGCAGCAAAACAACAAACTGCATGCATGCAGTTTCTCAGTGACTTTAAAACATCACCTCCACCATAAAACTTTTTCTGATGCTCCAAATACAGAAAAACATCCCTTACCAGGGTTTTTAGAATAAATAAAACAATCAGAAAATAAGTTTAAATGTTAAATAATAGTTAACATCACTTAAATGCAACAGCAAATCCTCTCATTGCTACTGAGCATTTTCTCCACTTATGTGGTTATGATATAAGGCTGTTGCTGCAACTGGGAAGTGAACTGTGCTGGGCCAAACTAGGAGAATATTAAGATTTTCTGAGGGAAAGAGAAAAGCAATTGTCTACCTTTCAGAAGAGGAACTGGCAAAATGTGAAAACGTTTGGTTTTAACCCCAAATTGAACAAGTTTACCTAGATCTTAAAAAGCAGCTCAGATGATGAAACTGCAACTATGATTCTGATAACAAGCTAACAAATTGAACTAGCTCCTCTTAAGATAAGCGGCTAGCGGAGCTTCTGACTGACAGTTTATGTGCAGCAGCAAATCAACTATCCTGATTAACAAGGTTATAAAAGCTCATAAATGAAAAATCACTTTGATGTGTAGGGGAACTTTTCCAGGCCCTCTTTAGCAGGGTGGGACTGGGAGGAGAGTGCTGTAGCCTTTTAGCTGGAAGCTAACCGGAGCCTGGTTGCCCGGTGGAACACTAGTGACATGGAGGTAGGTGGGTTGGTTCACCGGCACGTGTCGGAGTCAGCCCGGTTATTATCAGCTGCTTAATGACACAGAGCAGACTCACGTTCACGTTTGAAAGCAACGCTGATTCCAGAAACCTCAGCACAAAGTGCGTTCGTTAATCTGAGCAGGCATGACGAACAAGGGAACGGCGCCGCTAACTCAATTCGGGTGTTGCGTTCCACCCATCCTAAGAGTCTACGTAAGGGGAAGCGTATTACGTGAACGGAACCATCCGATTGGCCACATATCAGAAGGGCTACATTTGATTGGTCAAATAATACTTCCGCGTAAAAAACAGCTGGTTTACAAAAAGCTGATGTATGACACGGATGGAAATGTTTGAACCAAACATTTATCGCCGATTTTGACGTGCTTTGTGATTGGCCTATCGCACGTCCTGTTATTGCAATGACGATAATTTTTCGATATATTGTGCAGCCCTATTTGACACCAAATTTAAAGGTGCTAAAGAGATAATGATAAACACTTGCCCGAAGATGCTCTGAGCACAAACACCTAAAACATCTGATTTATGCATTTACTTAGCAGTCCTTCTCTCTTAACAGATTTCTTTTCCTACAAATGAAGAAACCACTAAATTTTTCTTGGTGTTTTTTTTTCTTTGTTTTTGTTTTTCCCTCCAGTTTCAGCTTGCCACTTTGAGACATGCATACCAACAGACTGTGTACCAGGAATTTCCCGTGGAAGCCAACCAGTAATCTTTCAGTCCCCTATTTCCTCCTTTAACTGCACAAAGGCCCCTTCTCTGTCTTTCCCTTCACTCAAGATTCAGCCATCAAGCAGCTCTTCAGCTGGGTCACTTTGAGAGGACAAGCAGAAGTAAGGACTGATGTCTAAAGGTGAAGTGGAGCTGTCCTTGCTATCGCTGCTGTAGGTGGTACTTCTCAGAGTCAAATACTGATCATTGATCAGCAGCCCTGCACTTACAGCTGCCTCAGTCATTTGAATCCAACATAAACACGACAATTCATTTTGAGTCACTCAACAGCTTGGCACTACTTTCACATATTTGAAGCTGATGATAAACATTTCCATCATCATAAAGGTCCCAATCAGAACCCGATCTGATAAGAAACCTGAAAGCAGAGTTAATGAAATAAGCGAAACTCCACAGGAATAAATTGAGATCTTTAACAATCTTGTCTGACAGGTTTCGCCACACTAAATAAAAGTTAAGTGATGGTAAACAGAAGTAAGAATCAAGCACGAAGATCCTCGCAGTTCAAGTTTAGCGCCCTGTGGAAGTCTAATGGCCCATAGCAGCTTCAAACTAAAAGTTGAAATGAATTAAAATTCTAAATAAAGTTAAATCAGAATATTTCGAATCTAACCTAAACATATAAAGGTAGTCCTGAATGTTGAAATCTACAAATAAATTTGGTTTTGAACAAAGTTTTTAACGTGGAAATTGTTACTTCATCGTTAGTTATTAATATAGGTAAGCTATTTCTGTTCTGCAGCAGTCTGAATTATCATAAAGGAATTATTATTATTATTATTATTAAATAATTAAAAGACCACATTAGCATTTGATGTTTTAAAGTAACTTTAAAATGTACAAGTTGGACATTGTTATGCATTCAGATTTTATATTATTTTTTATTAATATATTTTATTAAAATGATTAGACGCTTACACCTGTTTTTTACTGGAATGAGAACCTGAATGCGACCAAATGTAGCTGTTACGGTCAATAAAACAAAGCTGCTGAGTTACTAAATGAGGCTGCTAAATTAAGTGGTTAATTTTAGAAGCTACAATACTAATTGTGGCTAAATAAGTTATACTAAATAAGACTAATGGTAGCTGCTACAATGCTAAGTAGTAGTGTTATGGTTTACTTGGCCAAAGGCACCCCACTGCTATGGGTTGTTTTAATTACTGATCAGTGAAAAGATTGGTCAGACTGCAACATCGCAAACATTATTTACATGCCCCAGCCGAGATACTAAACAACATTCTGATTCTTGATTTTTCATCACTTCGATGACACATGTCACCACTCGGCTAGTGGCTGGTTTGTTTATTTTGGACAGCTGGCTAGGCTAAAGTTAAGCTAAACTAAACCGGAGTGGAGAAGAGCGGCTACCTTTTGTTGGGTTGAAATCTGTCTGAGTAAATGTGTGTGTTCTTGTTCCAGCACGCTCCCTCCTTCCCCCGCACCGATGCCCCGCACGGACACGAACACTTTCAGCTGTTGGTAAACCAGTTACCAGTCACGACTTCTTCCCGTCATCCTCCGCGAGTGGAGGCGAGCTGAGCGCGTGCGAACCGCCGCGGCGCGAGCAACAGATGACCAAAACAAACTGCTGCTCCAGCCGAGCGCCACCGAAGGCAGCACGGAGGAGAGAGCTCGGCGTAGCCGGGGGTGTTACCTTTACCGCAGCGGAGGAGGATTCGGACATGATCTCCCGTCAACTTCTCTCCCTTCTCCTTCCACTTTTCCGTCGTGCACTCTTCTTTCTCCGCTCCGCTCACGCAAACCCGCACAGCTGCAGCAGCGAAAGCCGCGCGCACCGACTGCTCGGCTCCTTGTTCTGGGAGAAGAAGTTGTTTTTCTCATGTAGCCCGCTTCTTTTCCCTTTTTTGTTCAAGGTTTGCGGTCCGGATCCATGGCGTGGCTCGTCGGTGTGAAAACTTCTTTTGTCTACGTGTGTGCGCGCGCGTGTGTGTGTTTTTCCTTCACATGTCGCTGGTTAATAATCCCTTCCTGGAAGAGCGAGACACCCCTCTCGCTATGTGTGTGTGTGTCTCTCATTGATCTCGATGTGTGTAAAACGGCGAAATGACGTGAATTCCCAGCAATGAGCCTTGCCCCCTTTTAAAGGGAAACCCGAAGCAGGAAATCGCAGAAGTTCGCTTTGCACACAGCTACAAACAGACACACAAATACAAACATAGACTGCTTTCTATTTATTTTTTTAATCAATGCTTAAGGCAACCACACAATAGGCTTAACCACCACGGGTTATTTTTTTCTGCAATTCAGCAGCAAATTAGAAGCTGTTGAAACAATGCATAAACCAGTTTATTGATTAAGAAACAAAACTTGAGATGATATTGCAAACTGTTTGCTTTAATGCCAGTGCAACTTTGAAATTTGTTTCCATCCCGAGTAATTTAAAAGCTCAAGTACAGACTAGACTAGAGGAATGTTTTGACCTTGGTGTGGGTGTAGTGTCACCCTTTAGCCCAGTCTCGGAGCTGAGTGTGCCTGGTGGGCACGACTGCATTAGGGACCTATAGGAGATAACATTGAAAAGCCACAAGCTTGTTTTAAATTGGACCAACCTCTGAAGCATGCAAAGGCAAATACAGGCATGGTGCAAAACGCATCATTTAAAGCATTCCACAAATTCCTTCTAATGCTCTTGAAGTTCATAAATCCATTTTCTTCAACTTTTCCAAGGGCAGGTTGCAGTCTCAAACATCCCTTAATACATCCTCTAACCATCCTTTTCTGAGGGCAATGCAACCCCTCTGGCAAGTCTGCCTTGGAGTATCCCAGTGGGACTTACCTGGAAAACTTCTAGGGAAGGCAACCAAGATGTATTCTAATTAGATGCCCAAACCATCTCAGGGAGCAACGAGGGATGGTGGAGCTTCTCTCTATCTCTCACCCCTACTTCATACTGGAAGCATCAGCGGCGTGGAACAGCGCTGCTTAAAATTAGAATCCATTATTGTCTTTAAGGGTGATTAAAACCAGCCGTGACGTGGGCATTTTCAGGCAGGAGAAGTAGCAGCAAACCATGCTGCTAAAGACAGGATCGAGCTCTATTTTTGCCGCGTGCCGCTTTTGGGACACGACAATTTCCGCAGTTAAAAGGCCTTACATACAGGTTCAGTGTAAAACCCCCGGTAATTTTCAAAATAAAAGATCAGTTGCCTTCATTTGAACCCTTTTGGATTAAATGGATGACAAGAACCTTCACCAGCAAAATAAAAGACTATTGCAGCGATGCAATTTCACATGTAGATTACGTCAATACGAGTGACCTAACGGCTCATTTACTTCCAGCATTGTTCCAGAAGTGCAGCTGTGATTTTTTTCATGGCTTTAATCCGGGCAGTGGAGAGGAGCAACATTATATGACATCAAACAGCGATATCAAACGTGATGTCCTACTTTTAGGTGGCATAAACTTGAGGGGTTTTGTGATCTCGCGAGTTAAGTGAGGAGGATGCTGGGAGTCTTGAGGGATTTTGTGATCTCACAAGCAAGCCGTTCCGGGGGGGCCAATACTCCCCTAGTGTGTACTGGACTGCAGGAGGAGTTGCGGGTAAACCGTTCTGCTGACGTTCCGCTCCACTGATGCTTCCAGCGTGAAGTAGGGGTCAGGCTGAGCTTCACCGGCTGCGGCCCCTCACACTCACCATTAAACACTCCTGTACAGAAACCTTGCACACACAAGCACGTGAACGCACACAGGTGCTCACATAAGGATGAACTTGGGCGTTTTTTACACATAACGTAAGGCTGTGGTTGGCACTAAATGCACTGTGTATTTTTACTGTGTGCTTTTCAGCTTAAATTTTTTCTGTTGCATATATCTTCATGTTGTTGGAGGAGTGATATTTTGGTTCATATTTTTGTGTATCCCCTTTTGTTTCTCCTGTTTTTCTGCAGGTCTAGAAGCAGATTCTTGTATATTCTTTGTTTATTTTGTCAACATTTTTTCCTCCACCTCTTCTCTCTCCCCTCTTTTTCATTTCTGTGTCCATTGCGATTTCTAATAAAGCTTTGATATCAGTTGGGGCATTATAGCCGACTCTATAAAGCTCCACTTGTGAGGGTAAAACCGTAAGGCTTGGACTCAGACATAAATTCCGATTGCTATACAGCCGGACAGAACACGGGAAAGAAAAAAATGGCTGAGCTTCATTTTGGACACTTGTATCCAGGATATTTTATTTCAACTACAAACCGAATCCTGTAATCAAGTGAGAGTGGAACTGTAGATAGATCAGTAAATCTAAAGATAGCGTTTGGCTCCACTCCTTCTCCACAATAGACCATAGAAATGTCTTCATAGGAAATCTTGGTCTCTTGCTCCAAACCCAATCATCACTCCTGGGCAAAATACCAAGATAGTCGAATTCCTCCTATTGATGCAGTCATTTCAATTGTGGAGGCAGGTGGAATGTTCTTGAAGTTAAACTCCAAAGTTTTTAACTGTGAAGACCAACTTTCTGGCAAAAGCAGCAACTAGTATTGCCCAAATCAACTTCTCACTCCAGCAGGAATGCCCAACAACAAAAATAAGGAGCATTAGAAGAAGATTCGACATTAGATAACCAACGAAAGTTTCAAAATGCAATAAAGATTCACTACAACTGGCTCCACTTTGTTACAAGCAAAGCCTTTTCCACAAAGGTCCAGTCATCCAAAACATTTAGATACAGAAAAATGTTTCACATCAGATGTTGTCCAAACCAACATGCTTGGATTCAAAAGTAGAGTCATGTTCAACTCAGTCAAAGACATTAACGTCAACCTGTCGATACCATTGTCTAACTCAGACCTAAACTCAGCCAAAATAAGTGCAAGACCCATTGGAGGAAGTTGTCTTTGTGTAGTCTGATTATGGTGTGTGTGTGTGTGTGTGTGCGCGTAAGTGTGTGTGTGAAATAAACTCAATCCAACACAACTACCAGGTGTGTGCTTCGAGTCTGAGCCAAATATGCTCCTGTAGACAATTACAGAGCAAATCATTCCCAAATAAACTTTATTTGCTGATAAACTATTTAATTGAGAATATTTTAGTGATGTAGATATGTGTAGTCATTAGTTTGCTATTTTAGTCCATCTTATTTAAAAGGTTTCGGTCAAAAAAAAATTGCTTAACCGCACAGGAGTAGAGGGCATGGATGCAACCGGTGAGGTGCATCAGGGCCCAGCAGACCCAATGAAGGGCCCAGAAAAGACGGAGAGTGTGCGCGTCGGCCAGCTGTGCAACAGCGAACACGAGGACGCATGTCAACTCAGATACATGACACATTAATATTGGTCCGTGGTATGTTCTGTGTGTTCGCTAACGAAACACAACTGGAGTGCAATCAGGCTTGTTAGTGATCATGTTGTGAGAACCGGTTTAAGGTGGAAATTTTAGTTTGCGCTGCAGGGGACGGGGGTGAATGATGATGATGATCAGACTCATCTCCTTTTTAAGGACAGAGATAAATAAAAACTTTTAACCACTTTGTGCTGCTGTGTCAGAAGTTCTGGCTAAATTTTATTTTTTTCCTTTCCAGGCCCAGGGTGATGTTAAATTATATTAAATTCAACTTTAAACTTCTGAGACCCTGATTTGTATTTGGTGTGATTTAAATGAAAAACTACTTTAGCTATTACAGCTTAGTTGAATCATACATGTGAACAAAGTATTACTTAGATAAAAATACATTTAAATACAGATGTTGACAAATTTAAAAAAAAAGAAGACAAATGTTTATGCTTAAAGTCAAAATCAATAACTATTGTTGTTGCTATTATTATTATTATTATTTTTTAATCATTATTTTTTATTATTATTGACAAAAACAAAATAAATATCCAACTTTTTTATTGAAAGTTTATAAATGTTTAATGATTTAGTCTTTTTTTTTAAACAGAGCCTGGTTAATGCTCGTACACATTTCTGAAATTCAGATAACGAGATCATTGAGTTCCTATTTATTGATTTTATTTCAGTGATAATTTAGTTTGTTTTAAAGATCATATTTCACTAGTTAAAATAGAAATAATATCATGAAGCAACATTTGCACCGGGGCTCAGCTCAAACTTGCAACGCCACTGCTTAGTCGTGCAAAACTGCATTGCAATTTTCTGATAGATGCTGGTAAGAACGTCCCTCCAGCGGCGCTCCTTTTGACATGCTAGGTGTAAAGCATGCAGCTCAGTGCTTATGAATGGGTGGGAGTTTGTCTATGATGGATGTATTTTTTGACAACATTCTCTCAACAAACAAACCAGTCTGTTTAGTTTCCTCTTGTCCCTCCAATACCAAGACACAGTTTGACAAGTACAGATAGGGTTTTTGCACCAGCATCATAAATCCTAACGTGCTATCAGCTCATTACTCCAACTGACAAATATTCATATATATATATGAATATATATATATATATATATATATATATATATATATATATATATATATATATATATATATATATATATATGTGTGTGTGTGTGTGTGTGTGTGTGTGTGTGTGTGTGTTTTTCCGTAGAATGGTCTCAATTTGGCTTGAGGAAGACTTCTTAAAAGCACCATGGTGAGAACGTGTTGCTCCATCAGCAGGTGCAAGTTGAAAACCACAAAAAAAAAAATGGAAATCCAGGTTCCACAATCACAGCTGTCTTCGTTTATGATAAAAAAGGAACACCGACTGTGCATATAGGGAATGAGATCTTGTAATGTACCATACATGCTGAATTATGGTTAGAGGTTCTGGAGCAAAAATGTATTTTAGTTAAATCTGTTGTGTGCACAAAACAGTCACCAAATGACAACATGTCATCATCACAACATCAGAAATCAAAAACTTAACAGGGCACACATTGAACCCTTCTAAAATTCTTCCTAAACCAAGAGTATCCACTATTCAAAAGTTTCAGGTCATTCAGAGTTTCATATATTTTGGAAAACTGTTGCTGGTTTCATTTAAATAATGTATGCAACAGGTGTTTATTTTTTTTGGGGGGGTGGGGTGGGGGTTGGGGGTGGGGGAGTTATATATAAAAATCATGACATTGTGATTTATTTCTCCATAGCTTC